CATGCTTCCAAGTTTCTTACATTTACCCAGGTTTTTAACACAATTTTGCAAGTATTGTCCAATACTGTAATAGCAGCTGGAAACAATCTGATGGCCAATAATAGTACTGCCATATTACATGATATGGTTGGTTCCATTCGGATTTCTGATCAAAGGTTCATGACCTCCTGCCTTTATTACCTCAGTTAAACCTGCTTCATCTTTGGTTTCACCACTGTTGCTTCTATGCCTGCTCTTGTTTCTTATTCTCTTTTCTTTATGTGGATCAGATAGTCCCACTTTCATCTTTCACAGCTTGGATTCCAGTGGTATGTCTATTGTTCTCTTTTTCTCTAGTAATTTTTGGCTGAATTTTGGTCTTCCTTGTTGATATATTATTGTTTTTGTTTTCAGTTTGGGGATCTCCAGTTTTTCCTTCCTTTATCATTCTTTCCATATACTTGTTTTCATCTCTTACTCAAGTTTTGTTCATTCTTGTGCTTCATCTTCATATATGGAGGCTTTCCATCATGACCCTATAATCTTTACTGGAGCAACCTGCACATACCTGTTTTCCACCTTGTCCTTGGTTTTCTTCCATTCCTCCTAGTTGCTTTGGTTTCTTTGTTCCTGAAATGTACTTTATCAAGTTGCATTACTTTATGCTTTTTGCCTATCTCGATCTTATCTTCAAGATCTCTGACTTGCACTTTTTCTTTGTGTCCTATTTATTTTTAATAGGGTATTTCTTACTCATGGCATCTTAAGATGAAGTTCCTCATCTGTCATCCCTTCCCACGTTGGTTTTTTGCCCTTAGGGCCAGTGGCTTCTCTTGCTTCTAGCCATCAATGTTCTCTATTTATTGCAGGTGAGTATGAGAATGATTCTGACACATTGGTATCCAGTTACTTATACTGCAGGGAAGTTTCACCTATCCTGGCCATTCTCCATTCTTCACAATGACTGATGGTGAGTTGTTTATTTTTCTCCTTTCTTTTCCAGGTTTCACGACCACCTCATTCAACATGCATATATATCTATGTTATGAAAATGATGGAACCAGAGAGTGACCAGTGTTGCCTCAAAAGGAATATCCAAAATCCAAATTGAGCAAGGAAGTACAGAAAGTATTAATGCCATCCTCCCTTGCTTGGTGCTAGCTACATCTCTTTCAGGTGGCTGTTTGGACTGTGATAGAAACAAAAGCACTGGGTATGTGCCTGCCCTTGCATTTGGCTTATGCCTGCTGTCTTTAGTTGTAGTAACCCATTGCTTTGTCTGTTAGTGTGGGATCTAACTCAGATTATTGTGTCTGATGACAATTGTCTGTGTATCTCTCTGGTGCCCCCCCCCCCAATTCTTCTAGTGGAATACAGAAGAACTCTTGCTTCACCAGTCACAAGCCATAGAAGAAACCAGTATAGAGTGTTCCCACTGGTACAAGACTAAGTGGTTGCATCCCTCATTTGGGCAGTATGGCTGGGGTGTTACTGGTAGTGTAGTATAGTACATTCTACTGTGTTATGAATCAAGCCATTCTTGGTGCTTAAGCCCATCTGATGGGTCTTGAGTTTGCCTTGGGACACTGATATGGGATGCTGCTCCTTGCATCTGATTTTTGGCGAGTTTTCCTCCAATATGGAATGACCTGATTTGTAGCCCTAGCCATATTACACACTCATGCTCAGCTCTCTGTCTTTAAGGTAAGGGAAGGTTTATCAGTTTGCCATTCAGTCCATCTTAGCAACATGTTAGTATCCAACAGAAGATACATATGGCTATTTTTTGCTCTACATTTTCTGTTTGGTAAAGAGTATTCCTTGCTTGAGATGAATGCTGTTCCACTAGACTATTCCTCACCTCTTGGATGTCGTACTCCATAGGCTTTCTATTTCTAGTGCTGTTTTCGGGAAGGAACCCATCTTTGTTATTTATCACTGACCCTTCCACTGTCTTTAATGTGGGATTATACCCAGCTAACAATTTCATGTTGTGACAATATTGCTTCATCATTAGATGTTGGTTGCCACAACATTAGAGGTTTACGTTGCATTGATACATTCCTACATCTGTTATGCCACCATTTTACATTGCAATATAAATTTTTATTAAACCCAATCTTTAAGTTTATATGATAAAATAAGAGATTCAACTTCTCTCATCTCATAAATTTATTGGACAGGTATTCTCTGACGAAAAAAAGCAAAAAAAATAGAGGAGAGTTTACAAAATGTCAACATAAAAATTTCATTGAAATTATTATTTGTGACAATAGTAATCTATAACTATCCTTCTTCCAGCTTGTACATCTCCCTAAGCATGGTTTGTCACTCTTCCTCTTCTACCTGATCATTTTCCAATATTTTGGCGCTGTTTGATATGTTTGCAAGTTTGAAACTGATTCCTGCAAATTTATCCAGCATCATATGTATTATTTTTAGGAACAAAACTTTTGATTAAATACCCAGAGTTAAAGGGAAAACACGATTTATAATTTTAAGCACATAAAGTATTGTCTTCCAACATACCTTGTTCCTCCTGGCTTGTTGAGAGCATGTTTCAGAATTTCTGCCATGCAGTCCCCAATAGTGCTTTCCCCTACAGGCATCTGCAACAAACATTAAATAAAGAAGTCCTAAGAATGGATAACTTAAAGACAATTTCCATTTCATTCTCTTCAAAATTTAAAAATTTGATAATTGATATCTCGGAGAACCTCAACTGGTTTTGGTATTTTGGAGTTGATTAGGTTAATACTAACTTAAGAATTTATTTCTCTTGCATATGACCTGTCCTTTTAAGATATGTACATTTCAGTATTTATCTGTTATGAGGTGTACCATGTTAAAGCCAAAATTAACACATCATGTATTTAAAAGACAAGACTTTGAAGAAATCCAGGGCATATGGCTTATGTCAAAATTACAAAAGCTAAAAATATTCAAAAACAAAATTTCAAAAAACATTTTATTGTAATCCTTTGCTCATAAATTCATTATACAAAGTTTCAAAATTCTGCATTGAAAACTGTAGTAGGAGATAGAATTTGAAGAATTCTTGACAGATGCTGGACAGATAAATATTGCAAAGGCTCCACTTACAGTTGACTTTGACTGCAGCGGAACTAAAAAAACACACACAAACCCATCTGCTTCTTTTATTTTAGCCCCCTCTTCTCCAACATTATTATCTATTGTCAATTTTGATGGCTAAGTGACATCAGTGTATGGTAATCAGATTAAGTTTTTACTCTACAAGTTCATTGAATCATAAAATGTAATAGTATTGTACACTAAACAGCTGTGTATAGTCAACTATTTCAAATCTGATGACCATGGTAGTAATTTTTATACCAAATAGTCTGCATGTTGCTATATATAAAAACATTATAATAAATCAAGACTTCACATGGAGAAAAAATAAAGAAAACAGTAAACCATTTTGACATGCCTTGAAACTTCTGGTAACACAATATGCCACTGAGAATTGAGAACCATTGAACTTTCAGTTTGTGCATTACATATGATAAAGGAAGATGACTTTTATACTTTTTGGTTTTGCATGGTATTTAAGTTTGAAAAAAATCAAGATCACCATAATAAGAAAATTTAATGATACAATTACATATTTTAATTAAAACCATATATTTTAGCATTTTACAGAGTGTATTGATTTTCTATAAAATTAATTTTTTTTTACAAGACAAAATCTGTCAATTTCCATGCCTATAACGTTGCAGGAGCTTTGTGAAAAACCACTGACAACATATCTAAGATGTCTAAAATTACAGATCAATTACATATTTTTTATTCACCAAATAATTGAAATAACAAGTTATTACACTGTAAAAAAAATTTAAACACATTATTTAGACTGCAAAATTGTGAAAACATTTTGCTACTTCGTAAATTTTCAAAAGCATAAGTCATCATTTAAAATACGTTGGATGTTGTTGTTCCATATTTGAAAATGTAAAATGCAATTTTTTCTTTTTTAAGTTGTGCCTTTGAATATCATATGTTCACTATTAATGTCTAACAGTGCTACAACATTGTTATTAAATATAATGCTGATGTAGATATTAGACAAAACTATTAAGCAACACTGTAGAAACGTCACATGCTAGCTGGGTAGCTGTTTCTGGTGCAGAGAGGTGAGATTTCTGAAGCTAACATTTTCCTTATCTGAAAATGTATTACAAATAGATACTCATTTCTTTTTGCAACACTTGATACCCTTACCACTTGTGGTGCATTTAGTTTGTCTTGACAGGCTGGTGCAATACACATTGACATGTGTAGGGATGGAAGCTTTATTCAAGGCTTGTGGCATGCACAGTTATTTACAGTTCAGTGCATAGATGCGTAATAGCTCTTTGTGATGCAGAGAGGTTAGTATTTAACTGAAATGCACTTCCAAGTCACGAAAATATTAACATTGCAATTTTATTTAGTTTTTGTTTTCAAAAATGGTACATACCTCTGCTTTGAAATTTGATTTACTTAACTTAAAATCATATAGTGGTAAACTACATAGTAAACAAATATATAGTTTTGTGATAGTTATTATTGATTTGAATCTGGCTCTTTTAGTTGTTAGTATTCTTTGTAATGATCATTTCAGAAATATGGCAGAAACATGTCTAGAAGTTTATTCATATCTTTTGTTCAAAGAATTAGAGCAAATCAGTTTTCATTCTGGGTGGGGGAGCACTGTAATTACAAATGAAAATAAATTTTTTTAACCAGGAAGTAATGGTAATGATTATATAAAAAATATTAACTGAAAGTATTCTAAACAAAACATTAAAATTAATCACTTTTACATGCTATGGGTTGATTTTAAAAGAATAATTTTTTATTTCAGTAATGGCCTTAGGTAGTTTGGTTTCTACGTGTTATTGAAAATTTTGAACTTTTATTTTTCTTATAATTTTTTTGTCTGTTTTTTATTTTATTTTCTGGAATGTCTAATGTTGATCTTCAAGATTAGACATGATTATTAATTTCTCTTTCTGCAGCTTGCAGGGGTAGTGCTTCATCACCTTGGGGAATATTGTAAATAACTGATTTCAACATAAGAAGCACTAAGTGTATTGAAGTGAGTATGAAATAGTTAACATTTGTATTATTAAACCAAATCTATGTATCTGAAAGAAATATTAATTTTGGAGATTGGTACTTAGGCTTCTAGACTTCCTTCATTGGGTAATATACAGGATTTGTCCTATGTGCTATACTTTTTCTTGGACTAAAATGTTTAAGTTTTTCTAATATTTTTTTAGCAACATCTTGTAGAGTTTTTTGTTGTGAAAAATAACAGAATTAGTTAAAGTTGTAACTGTTGAATGTAATATCTTTCTGATACCATAGTAAAGTTGCAATATAACAGTTGGTTCAGTATGAAATATCATTGTCAGTTAGTGTTATTTAAATTTTCCTAAGTGCTGAAAATACTGAAAGTAAGCTAATTAGTGTTAAGGTAAAATGAAGAAGGAGATTTGTAAAGCAAGGTAAATTACTGGATGGAAGTTAAACTGTATGAAAACATTATCTGTTAGCATGCAGTGTTTAATATTAATATGAGGACTAACCAACAGCAGCTTACACAAAGCTGTAAGAGGAATCACAGTGCAAGTAACATAATAAAGGCAATGCAATTGGCTAAGTGAAAGTGGCATAATGATGTCAATGGAAAAACCTAAAATAACGGATTGGTCATTAGAAGGGTTATAGGAAACTACAATACTAGAACACAACACTTGTGCTTTTGATACACAAAATCAAACATGATGCTTCTGGCTGTATGTGGCCACAGTGACCTCATTTTAGGAAAGCTGCTCTAATGTATTTCACTATTACCTTTTTATGCAGTTGAGTTCAAATCTTGATTAAAATCATTAACAATAACTTGTTGGTAAAGTTGTTACATCGTCTTTGGTAAACATAAACAAATAAACAACATTACAGTGAATATTAAGAGGTTGCTAACACTAACAAGAAAGAGAAAATTGAATGTTTCAAAAGTCATTAATATTTCTTTGTAAATTTAACCACAGTGTTGAAGTACATGGTTGTAGGAACTATAAAGTAAGTCATTGTAGGTTTGATCTTATGCCTAGAATCAGGTCAGTATAGGTTTGACCTTGTGCTTAGAATCAGTAACAGTTGTAGCAAATCTGTATTTTCAACTGTAATAGTCTTGAACCCACTCACTCCTTGTTCCAAAAGTTATAAATTTATAGATTGCTGTGTTGGACTTTCTTTAAATTTAGTATAGATAGCCTTTGAGTAGCTTTGTACGAAATTCTAAACAAACAAACAAATAATTTTTTAGATAAATAATCTTTTAGTACTGGTAATGTTGATTTTTTCTTCTGAATATTATTTTCAGTGTTTTTCCACTGGTAAATTTTACAAACAGAATATTCATCAGCTAGAGTACAATTGTTATTGAATAATAAAATGACTATGGTAAATTAAGTTTGTGGACTTATAATGCTAAAAACCGGGTTTTGATACCCATTGTTGGCATAGCCCATTGTGTAGCTTTGTGCTTAATTACAAACAAATCAAACTGTTAAATTAAATTAAACTTCTTAATTATTTAGGCATTATATTTTAATTTAAATTGTTGAAAAAATATTTTTTTTTACGTTAAAACAAATCTTTTTTTACATTTATTAATAAATAATACTACTATTTCTAGTGCATTAATATAAATATAAGGAAATATGTTATAAAATAGGCAAAATGCATGTACATAGCTTACTTCACCCCAAATCTCAATCTTGACATAAAGAAGAAGCAGTAATGAAAAGCATTAGTTTACATTTTATACTGAAATGATTCATTTAAATCTTAATCGTGCAACACTAGGGTCTTATTACTAACAATGAAAAAATATTAAAGGGTAGTTGAACTGAAAAACTTTTTCTGCCTCATTATGATAAAATAATAATGCTAGTGTTTACATTTTGTTGTGTATATGAAATATTTTATGGTAATATTGTAATATCAAGATGTTTTTAGCATTTTCTCAACTGGGATTGACTAATTTTATCAAAGTGTGTGTGTGTGTGACCACTCTGAGTCTGTTTAAACTAATTTCTTGTACTTGCCTGCCTCCAACTCTAATTGGTTTATGTAAATATTAGGATATGCACCATGTAACACTGAAAACAAGTTAAACAAATAAACTAAGATTTTACAACTTTACTACCAAATGCTATCTGTTTTTATGTTGGCAATATTAATAAGAAAGCTTTGTAATACAGAATGTCTATTTTGATGCTTAATTGGAGAAATAAGAAGTTTGCATTGTATTCTTGTGTGTATTCAGTATGGTACTGTTTCTTGATGTCTTTTATTTATATTTTTTTCTTGAACTAATAAATGGAGTGCATTCATTGAATATTAGGCTATTACAATTTTAACTGTTTTTATGGTAAGAGTTATCTTCCAATAAAAATAGTATACAGGATAAAGTTGAAGCTATAAAAATGTGGATTTAACATGTCAGTTCTGCTGTTTATAGCTGTGTTAGCTCTTCATTTGTTTTTTATGTTTAACTCTTTTTCATTATAGTGATAGAACTTGAAGGTAGTTAAGTTGCACTTTATCATGCTAAATAATGAAAAATAATAATAATGGTAAAACACTGATTATTTTATTTACATTGTTTCTGTATAACCAGTGGATGTTATTTTGTAAATCCTAATTTGATTTTACCCTTTGTGTGTCTAGGATGGGTGGATCACAAGATGAGAGTGGACATAATGATGTGGTAAGCTTGTTTCTTTTTAAGCATTTTCTTCTTTCTTTTGTTATACTCTAAGGTTCTAACTGTACATTTTTCATTGTCAGTATTATTCTAAAGTGTTTCTAGTTGTCTAAAATTTTCAATTTGTTTTGTGTTGTAGATAGTTTGATATAACATACCTATTGTACCTTTACTTGCTTATTTTCATGCATTTTAGTTGGAATAAAAAAATAACAACTGTGTGTTGCATTATTTTCTAAACATGGGTACTCATTGAATTTTTGTAGCATAAGTTAGGCTCTTAAAAATATAATTCAACAATGACTTGTTTTTGTTTGAGTTATAAATTACTTTTAACTTCACTTTTGATAGTTTAGCTTTGGTATTAGAAAGTATTTGTTACTCCTTAAAAATAGTGAAACTTGTTAAGTTATAAATATTTTCTTCTGTGTTCAAGCAAATAAAAAAAATAACATTTTAATTTAAATGTGACCACTCACCTCTGTACACAGATAGCTAGCTATTTTCCTCTCAAAGTCTAGCTTTCTGTCTGATAGAGTTGCATGCCACCAGCCTTGTGAGAACTCCCATCTAAAATTAATGTGAAATGCTTCACAAATAGGAGTGTGACTCATCTTGTGCAAATGATTCCTCTACATTCATGCATGAAAATCCTAATTCTGAATTTTGAGGATGTGTGCACACAAGATACAGTCCGAACTTAGTCCCCAGCTTACTATTCGCATATTAGTATTCAAACAGCTGCGTGCGAGTACTCGGATGATCACATACTCGTTCTTCCTGTCCTTGCAACAAAAATTCATGTCTTTCACCTCTTTTGTTCGTAAATATGGGCAAATGGTATCCCTGAATGAGATGAGATGTGGTCTCCCACTGGTGTTCCCTTATGGAGCCCTTGCCATAGTGTTGAACCCTATGGGCTTCCTTTGGATGTTTGCTGAAGGGATATTATCTAGATAAGTTTTGTACCGATCCTTCCACTATCTCAACTTAGGGTTCTAGCTGTTTGTGTATGGAAGTGAGTGGTCGTGTTGGGAGTTAAAATTTTCCCTATCTGAAAATGTATTTCCTATAGGTACCTCCTTACACGTTCCTACCCATCCTTCACACTTTCCTGGTGCTTATTGCCTTTGCCTTATCAAAGAATGGGGGTTTTGTTGCATGATACATCATCCTGCAGTAGTGCAAGCTCACGTGTTTCATGTGAATTTTAGAAGTTTTTCAAAAGGCTGATGGCATGCAAATCTCAAGGCAGAAAGTGCAGCTTCAAGGGGAAAATAGCTGTGTGTACAGAGATGACTAATCATCAGAAATACATTTTCCATTAGGGAAAATGTTAACTTTCATATTTGATTTTAGGATAATCAGTTAGACCTTGAAAATGTCCCTTGCTCAAAGAAGAGGTCATTAGTAAACTTGAAAGCTTATGACAGTGAAAATATAATTTATTATAAGTCACATTTCCTTTTTTTTATGATTACTTCTGTTTTGACTTGTTTGAATGTAAAAATTCATTGGTATATGGCAAAAAATTTGCAGTCAATTGTTATTAGTAAAATTGTTCAATAAAACTGTTAAAGAGCACTGATATTCTTGTACACATATACATTACAATTATCACAGACATTACAATGCAACATTTTGACCTCAAAAATAAGGATTTCTTTGCATATGTTAGTATGTGATAATTCTGACAGATGTAATACATTTAATTCTTATGTTTATGATAAATCTTACAAGTACATATAAACAGCAAAAAATATGTGGAAACTTCTGTTTATCCTTAAATAGAAAGTAACTTGTATTTTTGACTGCAATTGTATAACTGTGGTGTTGTATTAGCAAAAATGATGCAAAGCTGTGTATTTGAAATTTAACCCATACATATGGCTGAAAAGTATGGAGTTTTGAGAAATTAAATGTTATATTTAAACTTCCCTTCTAAAAATCACATCAATACAGGGTACTTGTCTGGCTCTTCCATATCAGAATGCCACTAAGGATACATCACTGACAAGTAAAGAGACTGGATCAGAGCCAGTGAATGGTATTGTTCAGCCTCCTTTTGTTCCTTCATTAGAGAAACCACATCGGAACACTAACCAATTACAGTATCTCCTTAAGGTTGTAATGAAAGCTGTTTGGAAACACCAGTTTGCTTGGCCATTCCATGAACCTGTGGATACAATTAAACTGAATCTGCCTGTAAGTATTTTTTGTTAAGCTGTTACACAGTTAATGTGACACTGATATCCCCTGTTCTTTTTGTTCTCAGATTTAAAACATTGAACGGACTTGCTTGAAATTTTATACACAGTTTATACGTTATATTTATTTTGTGATTGAAAAAAAAATTTATGATTTGGATTATTATTCATATAATATTTTAGGTTGTGAATTTTTAAACATTTTGTTTTGAAATTTATTTTTAAAAACATTGAAAAAACTTTTTTTTCTAAAAAAATTTTTTATTCGTATGTGGCTAAAATATCATAGAATATCAGTGTACATTTTTTCAATAAAACTAATTTTTTGTGTCTGTTTGTTCTAGTAATAGTATACTCCTTTTCTTGTATATTTATACAATCTGTCATACAATGAAAGTAACTATTGGAAAATATTAATGAAATAAAACTGGATTTTTGTTCTTTTATTGTGTCTAACATATTGTAAATGTATCAAATAGTTATTTTTCAATAAAACTAATTTTTGTTTGTTCTCGTAATAGCAGACTCATTTTCTTGTCTGTTCATACAATCCATGATGTACAATGAAACTAACTATTAGAAAATATCAAGGAGAGGATTATAACTGGATTTTTGTCTGTTATTATTGATCAGAAAATTTTGTTTTATAAGTTCTAACTTTTTTAATATTCATCAGTTATTTATATTTATTTACCTGAAAAGTTATGTAGTTACAAAAGTAGCCTCAAACACTGAACAGTAAAAGCATTTACCAGTAGAAACAAAACTTGTACCAATAGCTTAGGCCTTTAGTAATATAGGCAATATTTTTCCAACTATAGTTTTTGTCACTCTCAATTTCTCTAATAACTATCATTTGGTGTCGATAACTGAGGACATTTTGTACGTATTGAGTAACAATAATTTTAATTAATACAAATGAAATAAAAAAATGTATTGTGTTTGTGTCATACAAATACATTATTGGCACAGAATCCTTATCTTCACCACATTTACCATAAATATACCTAGCTGATATCTTCTCATAGGAGAGTATTCATTTAGATTTCAAAAAACTTGACACATTAAAGATTATTGCAAACTAAAAGAACATTAAAAGAAACTATATGTTTATGGTTTGTTCCTATTGTAAGCTATGTTCTTTCCTAAATTAGTCACTTTCTCAGAAACCATAAATTACTGCTTAGTGCTTTTTTTTTTTACTTGAAATTGAGATGATAGAAAATATACTTTTTTCCAGTAATTTTGTAGCCAATGGTTCTATATACTTTCAAAGCTAAGATTTATTACTTAATATCTAACCCACTTTCTGTAATACCATAAAAGGTTAGCTACACAGGATTCTAGAAAAAATTACTGACAGAAAAGCATTGTGAGAAACAAAACATGAATGAGGGCAGAATAATTCTAAACAAATCTATAAGGGTGCTGCTTACAGATGTTACCCATCAGAGCTGCACAGAAATTAAAAGTTGAATCATTTAAAACAAATTTCTTTGTGAATTATATTAAATAAATGATGCAAGCTATTTATAAAATATTTTTGAGTAAAAACAAATTAACTATAAATTTTTTTTAATATTTGATATGCAATAATACACTCAACACTGGAAATTAGTTCGACAGTCGTAATATGTATAATGTACTGATTGAATGAACCTTTCTTCTAACAGATAAATGAACAGCCTAGCTAGTTACAATAGTGTGATTGCCTTTTCACTCTTTGTCACTTTTTGTTGGGGGGGGGGGGGCATGAATTACAAACAGTTTTCCAGCACTAAAACTTTAGATAAGTTGTATTTCTATACTCACGTGTATCTTATGTTTTTTAGCTTTCTTGAATAGAAGCAAAAATAGTTAAGTTACACATTGTGTAGGCAGCACTGATGTTTTTTATTATTTTATATCGTCAAATTTTTCACAAAACTGTATGATTAGATTATCATTCAAAATTTTTATTTTATTTTGTATAGATAGTATTTGTTTTTTAACTTTTGGACTTGAGATAATTATGTTTTAATGGTATTTTTTCTTCAAAGTTTTTGAAATATATTTATATATATATATATATATGTATGTATGTATGTATGTGTGTGTGTGTGTGTGTGTGTGTATATATTAATGTCATATCAAACTGGAACCTTGGACAAAGTACTGACTTTGAAACTAATTAGATGAAAGAGATTGATTGAATTTTTATGTACTAAATGGATGTTACTTTTTTAATTAGGACTATCATAAAATTATTCAACAACCCATGGATCTTGGAACTATCAAGAAAAGACTAGAAAATTGTTGGTATTATTCTGCTACTGAGTGTGTCGATGATTTCAAGACTATGTTTACAAATTGTTATGTGTACAATAAACCAGGAGAGGTAAGGATAAATATACTGTGTACATTAGCAGAATATTCAAGTTTCTTACTTTACTTTTATTACATCTTTTCTGTAAAAAATTCACAATATTAGTTTGGATGCCAAGTAATTGCTTTAAGATAATTTGATATTGAAAAAATTAACTGATATGTAATTTTGCTGCAAAGTTATGCATTTTATGTTGCTTGATCGCAAGAATGTGAATTGATGCACAAGCTAGGAATTTTTCCAAAGGTTGTCTTATTAGCAAGACATGGAGAATTGAACATTGCTAAGCTTATTTGCATATTCTAAAGAAGAAAGAGAACTTCATTGTCATTAAAGTCTTTAAGTAACAATCTACAGCAACAGTACATTGAAAATAGTGTATTTGTGTTGATCAGATGTGGACTATCTACTGATTTTTTTGACATGCAGTTTTTAAGCCCATGTGTTTATAATTTATCGGTGTAATAACACTAAATGTTGCATAATTTAAGTGGTCTGTTGAAGATAACTACACTGTCAACCTTACATTGTTTAATGTGAGTTAATGAAATTTATTTCTCACACTTGCACCAAGATAAGCTTTGACAGAGAGTAGGAATTTATGAGAAGTTTTTAATTCAAAGATAGGTACTTTTGCAAATTATTAGGTATGTATACAGATTTTGGAATGTTTGTTTAGCTCATTAAAATTAAGATGACACTTGTGAAAATTTTAAGTGACAGACACTTAAAGGAAAACCAATGTTTAAGGATTGTGTATCATTAAATGTTGGTTTTTCTTTAAACATCTGTGTTGTTTGTTTAGCACACGTATGTAATGTAAGACGTTAGCATTTTGATTTTTGAGAATTATAATCAATAGAGAATCATTAAAGGTCTACCTTCTGTTAATTTGCCTTAGTTATAATAAGGTTTAATACATTATGAGAATGACGCTGGTCCTGCGCTGCCGTTAGAGCTACTTCATCCACTATTGATTGCTTTGGCTGAGCACTATTGTCCAGTGTTGCAGTTTTCATTGTAACAAGCTTCTGTAAAGGATTACAAATTTCAAATTGACTTAAGTCACACATCCTGATAAATATTCCACAGACTCCACTGTTCATGTATGTTAACTTCCAATACCATGCTTAAATAGCCCAAAGGGACAAAAGGCTATTGGAGCTACACTGTGGAACTTGACAGGTATGTTGTTAAATGGAATTGCTGTTTATTTGGCCATTTTTCTCATGTAAACAACTGTTGATTTTGAGGTCTGGTATTAAGCTTGCAAACTTTTGGTTTGAATTTTGTTAAATTCAGATATATATATTTTTCAGTTAATGTTACCAGGAGATATGCTTAACTCCATTGCAGTGACTTTCTGGGTCAAAGGGATCTCTTTTGCAACTATAACCTTTACTTTGTAGACGAGGACATTATTCTGTAATAGCTTAAGTTTTGGTTTTGTAGCCTATTCTTGGAATAAATACGCTGCTGAGTGAGTTTTTCCACTGATGAATAGAATATTGAAGGCTCCTTTCTTTGAAATGTTACATCCTTTGGCTTTATGTCATCTTGAAATTTTGTCATACAACTGTACTTCTTTGGAAAGGGCTATGATGTATTTCTCCAGCCATTAGTATTTTTTCGGTGGCAGTGCATTGGGAATTATCTGTGAACTAAGTATATAGGTATAGAACATATGGTGCAATGGCTTGCATCTATGACATCACTACATTAGCATATGAATATTATTTTTCTTGCATGCCAATTAACCCTTTGCATGTTACAGTTTTGTTCATATTGAGAAAATTTGATGAAGAAATGATGAAACTAACATTGTGGTATTTCAAAAGGCTGCTTTTGAAATAAAAACGATACATACAAGGTGCAGAAAAATTCAACAAAAAGTCTATGAAACCTCTAGGAGATGTGGTACTTGTTACACCATTGTAAAGAGAGCTGTGATATCCATCATTTAATTAAATTTTCATTGTTTAGCATTTCACTAGTATATGGTTACAAAGTATGGAATCAATTATATGAAATGGCATATCTTAGAAATGTAATAAGAATTATTTCATTGCAGTGCCCTTTTTTACTCAAAAACATTCTTTACATGATGTATAGCATTTACAATGGAAGCTAAGAATTTAGTGATCTTCCGTCATCTTGTTATAAATATGAAGTTTTAGCAAATTGTTCAGTAATCAGAATATTGAATGTTGAGCTTGTTTTGTTTGAATGTGAAAATGAATTCTTCATGATGTAGTGAAAGTTTTATAAACTTATGAAACCCTGGTATTGTGTTTTTCTCTTGGGTATTTGTGGTTGTATGTAAGGTATTAAGTAAGATTTGGAGATAGGTTCTTGATTTATGCATATTTTTATTGACAGAAAAGGTTCTGAAAGAGGTACTCTTATTTATTAGTACAGTATATCACAAGAAATATTCCATCAAAATAGCTTATTTGATTTGTTATATGCTTTAATATTTCAAGTTGAAACAAACTGTATTAAATTGAGAAAAAAAATTGGATTAGAGTATTTAATTTCATCTGGAAAATACCTGAATGCCATTCCAGAAAAGAAAAGTATGTGCATTATTTACATGCATTTCTTTGTTCCGTTGTGAGAATGCATGGCTGGTTTTTGTCTTTTTTTATACATTTTGTATTTGTACTCCATCTTGGATTGGTAACCTATAATAGTAGCTTGACTATCCCTTTGCTCAATCTAACTGACATTTTTATTGTATGCAAAACAAATGAAACTTGACACTAGGAGGGTGGTGTGTACTACCTCAAAAAGGACAACAGTTAAAGAAACACAGACTGTGACTTTAATTTTAACTTGCCTTCTTTTTTGTAAAGTAAACAAAAAAAGAGAATTTCTAAAATATGTACAGTAAAGCTCAGTTGCTGATTGTATGTTTGTATTCTATACATTTTGTCATTTCAAAATGAAAAATGAGCATTCATATGTTTGAAAGAAAATTTTTAGGATTAAATTTGTGATTTATGTTTTTTACCAACCTTATATCTTACTAATAACAATTATTTCTCACTCCAGTATTATTCAATATTTGTCTTTAAAACACAAAACTTAGATAAATTAATATTTGAATTACTAGAACATTTCATCTTAAAAATTTGTTTGATACTTCTTGATTTAAACTTTAACCCTTAATCACCCATTCTGACAGTTGTAATAAAAAAGTGCATTTTTGAAGAATAAATACAAGCGTGAGAGTTTAAGATACTTATACTTACATGATAAAATTTCAAGATTTATGTTCCTGACTTATGTCTTTAATAAAAAAAAAAGTTCAAGAATGTAGAGTAATTATCAATACCAGCTAAGGCGAATGTTGAAAAAAACACAATTATAAACTATAATGCAAAAAAGTTTGTCAACAAAGTGTGCTTAAAGTATAAAGAACAATTCAATTTATTATGTAATTGCCATAAAATTAGCCTATGTTTAACAAATATTATGTACTCTTAGCTCTTAGTTTCT